ACTTATTATTGAAAAATTGATTATTTTAGGGGCACCTGGGTGGCTCAGTCGTTAGGCATCTGCCTTCGGCTCAGGTCATGATCCCAGGGTCCTGGGATCGAGCCCCGCATCCGGTTCCCTGCTCCACAGGAAGCCTGCTTCTCCCTCTCCCTCTCCCCCTGCTTGTGTTCCCTCTCTCACTGTGTCTCTCTCTGTCAAATAAATAAATAAAATCTAAAAAAAAGAAAAATTGATTATTTTAGAAAGGAACATACAACCAAAAATTACTGTTTCTATTTTGTTGAATTCTTTTCCAAAATTGTAGTTTGTTTCTTTTTATTACTCACATAATGGATATCTGACTTTTTCTAAAATTATTTACTTAATATATATAAGCACACAATCTCTTGTAAAATTTCAAAAAAAAAAAAGAAGAAGAAATATATAGAATTACAAGTGAAGAATCAACCTTTACATCTCAAGCCTTCCTGCCCCGAACCCTTACCCTTGTCAGGAGTAATAGTTGGATGTAAAATTCAGCCAGACCATTTTGTGATTATACATATGCAGTTTTATAGATATGCATATATAAATGTAAATATATATAGCATATAATTTATATATTTTGTTTTTACATAAGTGGGATTATATGTACAGGTATTTTACCATGACCTACATTATACATTTAATTAGGTCTTGGATATATTTCCATGAAATATGCCAATCTTTTGAAGTTTTAAAGTATTACATCATATGAATACATGTGAATTTCAGTCCCTGTTTAATGAATATTTCAGTAGTTTTCATTTTATCACCATTGCAAACAAATTTTAATAAACATCTTATACATGTGTCTTCATATATATATTATTATTTAACAGTATGGGTTCTGGAGACAAATCTCCTGTGTTCTAATTCCAGCCGGGCCACTTCCTGACTGTGTGACCTTGGAAAAGTAGAAAACCTCCCTAGTCCTTAGTTTCTTCATTTGTAAAATAATAATAGTATTCCCTTCATAGATTCTTGTTGTGAAAATAAGTGTTGAGGATTCAGAAAATTCCCACACACAGCAAGCAAACAATTCATGTTAGCTATTATTATGTGCAGGTATTTCTGTAGATATATTTCTTAGGTGGGATTGATAAAAGGTATATGCATAATACATTTGTATGGATGCTGACAAGTTACCCTAAAAGAAGGCAATACTTATTTTAACTGCCATTAACAGTGTATGAGACTGCCCGTGTCCATACATCTTATCCACATTGGACATTATCAAACTTTAAATTTTTGTCAATATAATGAGCAAAAAGATTTTTTTATTTTGCATATTCCTCGTTACTAGTAAATGTGCTCTTATTTTCATAGTTATTAGTCATTTGTATAGTCATTGCTATTTCTTCTATGAATTGCTTGTTCGTATCCTTTGCTCATTTTCAAGTTGGGTCATCTTGTTTATTTGTGGATACTTTTTACATAATATAGATGTTAAAATCTGATATGTATCATGTAGTCAGTGCTTTAAGTTTTTTATGATTTACTTTGTCTTGCAAAAATTTTAAATTTTATACACTCAAAATTACTAATATCTCTATTATCTGGTTTCTGAGTCTGACTTAGTAAGGATTTCCCTACATAAGGTTATGAAAAATATATTTTCTTCTAATATATTTAAATTCATTGGCTTCATTTAATGCTGGTTCATCTTGAAATTTTTCTGTGTATGGGAAAAAATAGCTTCAGGAGTTTTTATCCTCTTTCATTGATCTATTCATATACTCATGTAACAATTTCACATTCTGTTTTGTCTTCACTGTCTCTTTAATTTTTAAAATAATTCTTTTATTTTTATTAAAATGACACATTCTCAATATAAAAAGTTTAAGTAATAAGGAAAGTAGAAATAAAAACATCACCTCAATTCCCACCTGAAAATCCCAACAAATTTTCATTGAGCACCTATTTTGTGCCAGGCACTGCTCTAGAAACTAAAGATCTAGCAGTAAACAAACCCAATAAATTTTCCTGCCCTGGTGCTTAGATTTTAGAGGGTCATAAATCATATTTTACGTTGGGGTAAATATCACCCCAGACATCCCTTTACACAAATATACAGTTGAAAGGATAGTTGGATACAGAAAATATGTTACAATGGGATTACACAGGCTAATTCAAATAAAGTTAATTTCAGTGGCATTTAACAAACATGAAAGATCCTAATGTGGCTAAAAGAAGAATCAATGGATTAATGTTTCTTGATCTCCAAAGATATTAAGGGTTTCTTTTTAAATCACTCTAGCTTGAGGAACTATTATTAAAATCATTGAGTTTGAAGTCACTGTGGGTTTTTTAAATTTCATATGTCAAGTTTAGTCATTGTTGATTGACTGCCTAGTAAAAAACAGAGGAAACCAGCATGCTTAGAAGCTTCCTCTTGTCTCCCTTTTATCACTTCCCAATTCCTATTGGTGTTTACTTCACTTCATCAACTTGAATAATATCTATGCTCTATCCTCTGACATAATACCACATTGTTTAGTTTTAGTTCTGTTTATATAGTTATTACATTCACTAGAGTTCTTTAACCACAGTCTCCCCATTCCTGAGTTTTATTTTGATTAAATATTTTTGTTTGTCTGGATTTAATTGAACTGCAACTCTTTCCTGGATCTCCAGCTTACCAGCCTATCCTGCAGATCTGGACTTACCAAGCCTCCATACTAACATGAGCCAATTCCTTTAAAGTCTCCCCATTAGGTTGCCTGGGTGGCTCAGTCATTAAGCGTCTGCCTTAGGCTCAGATCATGATTCCAGACTCCTGGGATCGAGCCCCGCATCGGGCTCCCTGCTCCGCGGGAGGCCTGCTTCTCCCTCTCCCACTCCCCCTGCTTGTGTTCCGTCTCTCTCTGTCAAATAAATAAAATCTTTAAAAAAAAAAATAGTCTCTTTCTTTTATTCTACTGTAGAAATATACAGAAATGTGTTACTCATTCACCCATTAAGGACAATTAGATTGTTTCCAGTGTTTCATGACCTATGTGGCAGCAGGAGCCGTGTGCATATCTCTCTATGCACATGTGCAAAATTTCCTACAGGACATAGAAGTAGGTATGGAATTCCCAATTTTTAGGATAAGAACATGTTCAGCTTCACTATATATTGACAAATTGCTCACCCATGTGGTTTTGTCAAGGAGAATTGCATTCAGCTGCAAGCGTAAAAGAACCTAACTACTACAACTGATAACGTTTGCAATTCTCTTTGTCTTTCCTCCATGGTAACAGAATAGTTGCTGCAGCTTCAGCTCAGCTATTGAGTATATTCATTTTTTAGTATAAATCAGAAAGAAGGGTGGACAGGGATAGAGACGGCTAAAGTTTTCACAGGAACACCCCCCCCCCACCCCGCCCCGAGTGTTTTGTGTCTCATTGGTCAGAAAAGTTTCATATGGAGCGCCTATCTGCAAGCACAGCTGAGGGGGATGGGACAAGATGGGAATTAGACAAGTCATGAGACATCATTTGGAACCCAGCTTTTTTTGTCCTGGACAAAACTGGACTTCTGTTCTTTAGGAAGAAAGGCGGATGGATATTGGAGAGGCAGCTAACAGTGCCTGATATAGCAGTTGTACAAATTTCGGCTCCTTTTAGCAGACTTTCTGTTTTTGTGTTTTGTGGTGTGTGTGTGTGTGTGTGTGTGTGTGTGTGTTACATGTTAACACATTAAGGGTCTGGTGGGGGTTTTTTCAGTCATTTCAAGTTTTATCTATCTGTTCTGTGTTATATGTAAACCCAATTGTTCACATCAGCATTTTCCTACTACTAAAATAGGCATTTTTTCCTATTTATTAGCCATCTGGGTCTCCTCTTCTGTGAACTGTATTTATGTTTTGTCCTCTTTTGCTGTTCTTCATCTGTCTGAGGAGCTCTTTGTATAATCTAGACATGAAGCATTTTATTAGCTGTATACATTGGTAAATATTTTCTCCCAGGCTGTGACTTCTCTTTTAATTTTATTTTGATGTCTTTTATGGAACAGAGATTTTTAATTTTAATATTATCAAGTTGACAATATTTATCTTTTGTGCCTGGTTTATGAAATCCTTCCCTCCCCTGAATACCCAAATTCTCCTATGTTGCTCTAAAAGTTTTAAAGTTTTGCTCTTTTCCTTTAAATTTCATTCATTTGGAATATATCCTTATAAATAGTTTGAGGCAGCCATTTTATGTTTTCAATATGTGCCTAATTGTACCCACATCAGTTTTTTGAGTTGTCTGGTCTTTTTGCACTGAACTGTAATGTCGTGCCTGTCATACTCCAAGTTCTCACATATGTGGGTTTGTTCCTGTCTCTGAGTTTTGTTTTTTTAGTCTATTAATGTATTCCTAAAATAACAGCACAGTTTTATTAATATATCTTTGGAATATCAGTATCTGGTAGGGAAATATCAGTGACACTGATTTATTCATTGCTCAGAATAATGTTAAGGCATATGTCAGTCTCATCACCTGCTGGCATACAGATACTCTGTTGATACTGGTACCTTGCTCTTGCATGCAGGAACCTTGCCTAACTCTCATGTTAATTCCTGTTGTTTGGGTGTAGATATTACTGGATTCTTTATGCAAATAATCTTCAGATAATAAGTATATGAGTCTCCCTAATCTATACAACTGTTATTTCTTTCTTATTTTATTCCATTGGTTAGAAACTCCAGAGTAATGATGGTTATTGGTGGAATAATAGGCATTATTTGCCTAATATGAATGAGGATTTTATAATGCTCAAACATTATTCCTGGGATAAACCACCCTTGACCATAACATGTTTTTTAAAATACTCATTTGATTCAGTTTGTCAACACTTTAAGATATTTGCATGTATACTCATAAGGGTGGTTAAACCTATAATTTTTCTCTTATTTGTTTTTCTAGTTTTAGTATACAAAATACACTGATTTTATAAAAGTTGTTGTATAATTTGCTTCTTTTTCTTTTTTTTTATCATATTTTGTGGAAAAGAGGGATTTTTCTGTCCTTTGAAGTATTGGTAGAACCTGCTTCTAAGAGTGTCTGCGCTTCAATAGCCAAACTGTGGAAAGAGCCAAGATGTCCATCGACAGATGAATGGATAAAGAAGATGTGGTATATATACACAATGGAATATTATGCAGCCATCAAAAGGAATGAGATCTTGCCATTTGCAACGACGTGGATGGAACTGGAGGGTATTATGTTGAGTGAAATAAGTCAAACAGAGAAAGACATGTATCATATGATCTCACTGATATGAGGAATTCTTAATCGCAGGAAACAAACTGAGTGTTGTTGGAGTGGGGGTTGGGGTGGGAGGGATGGGGGGACTGGGTGATAGACACTGGGGAGGGTATGTGCTCTGGTAAGCGCTGTGAATTGTGCAAGACTGTTGAATCTCAGATCTGTACCTCTGAAACAAATAATGCAATATATGTTAAGGAAAAAAAAAAGAAGAAGAAGAAGGTAGCGGGAGGGGAAGAATGAAGCGGGGGAAATAGGAGGGGTAGACGAACCATGAGAGACGATGGACTCTGAAAAACAAACAGGGTTCTAGAGGGGAGGGGGGTGGGAGGATGGGTTAGCCTGGTGGTGGGTATTGAGGAGGGCACATTCTGCATGGAGCACTGGGTGTTATGCACAAACAATGAATCATGGAACACTTCATCTAAAACTAATGTTGTAATGTATGGGGATTAACATAAGAATAAAAAAATGAAAAAAAAAAAAAAAAGAGTGTCTGCGCTTGGAGCCTTTATTTTGGATAGCTTTTTGCCTGCTGATTCAATTTCTGATTGTTTTATCCTCAGATAGAGGTTACTCTTCTCAAGTTAATTTAGGTCATTTAAATTTGTATCGAGAATTTTCCATTTGTGTTTTAAAATTTATTTTTATAAAATTTTAATAATTTTCTTATGATTTTTGATATTTTAATTTGTACCATATCTATAATTATTTTATTTTCATTCCTGATACTATTTACCAGTGCCCTCTCCTTGCATTACTGATCAGTCTTTCTGAGGACTATTTTATTAATCTTTGGGAAGACCCAAGTTTTGGTTTATTGAACAATGCAGTTAATCAAGGACCCAATCATCTTTCTTCTTGTGACACACAGTCTTCATCATGTGGTCTCCAAGATCACCCCAGGCAGGGAACAGGAAATGGAGGATGGAGCAAATAAGTAGTTTTTGTGTCTCAAGACTAGAAGTGGCATAGATCACTTCTGTCCAGATGACTTCAACCCAACTGTAAGACTTCTGAGACATGCATTTTACTCTTATTTCTACATGCAGAATATACTCATCGCCTCCCCAGAGAAGACAATGGAAAGTTCCTTCCAGTCAGTGCATTCAGCTCAAAGTCCAAGATATCCAAGGAATGTGCAGTCTTCCCCAATATGTGAATATTTGGCTTGTTCTGAAATGGAATCCTATGAACTGAAGACACAACTTATTTTTACCACCACTCCCATACATACACACATCTAATATAAAATAATGGATCATGAACTGAATTAACTATAATAAAAACTCTGATCAGTAAGAGGAAAAATGGAAGGCATATAGCATAGCTAATGCATATCCATCTTCAACAAATTTCCAAAATCACTGCAGAATGGGGAGAAAGTCTGAAAAGACACAAATCGAAAGAGTTAACATGCCAGCCTATAAATGGCAAATAACTTTTGGACATATTCCAATGGCTAAAAGTCAACTCTGTGATTCTAATAAAATTATAAGAAGGCTATGAAAGTATTCTAGTTGTGTGCCAAAAAAGAAGAGGAGAAAATGGATATTGATCAGCTCTAGCAGTCCTTGTCCTCATGGTAAATTGTTCATTTTATCATTAAGTAATCAACTTTTTTAATCCTGATAATGATATTGCTATAAAGTGTTTTTTCTAATATCAGTATTACTCTGACATTTATTTTGGTTGGATTTTTTGTGTAACTGTTTTTATTCATTACTTTTATTCCATTACTTTCAGTCTTTTGAGATTATTATATTTTAGGTGTGATTCTTGAAAAAATATAGCTTAAACTTAGATTTTAAATCCAATAAAATCCAATCTGAGAATCTCTGTATTTTTCAGGATAATTTAATCCATTTTCATTTTCACAAGTTTCATGCTGGGAAATATCTTCAAAGGATAAAACTATCACTCAAGATTTATTATGAAATAAAGACATTTTTTTTTTTTTTCAGAAAAAGTCAGAAGGTTTACTATTTGCAGATCCTCCTTAAGAGAACTGCTAATGTGGGATGCAAAAGCATTGTCTGTGTGAAAACGAAAAAAAAGGTTTTAATCTAATTAAATACTGAAAAAAAATGACTAATTTTGGGGTGCTTAAAAACAAGAAGGACCTAAATACAATATAATTAAAGATGGCAGTGGGATACCAAGCTTAAACTATTTCAAACTTGAATTTGGAGAGAATTGGATAGAAATATTTGTGGGAAATATGGGCTATGGAAATAGATTTGGCAACTACTAATAAAGAGTGAAGAAAATCACAGGAGTATTATTGGATGAAGCACTTCCTCTAGTTGGACATGAATCTAACTCTAGTTAATACAACCAGGTAGGCTAACAGCTCTAACGGAAGTACTCAAAGTATACAATGGCTCAAACATAGTAACTATTTTTCTCACACATAAATAGCCCAAGAGAGCTGCAGGTTAGTTAGTGGCTGGAGCTGGAAAGGATTCTGCTTCATGCAGTCATTCATGGGCCCAGGCTGAAGAAATAACTTCTTCCAAAAATAACTTTCAGGGTCACCCTGATCATGTGAAAAGGAAAGGACTATGTCTGAGTGTGTTATTCCTTTCTCAGTGCATTATGGAGGCACATGTTGCTAATATGTCTCAATGTATCATCCATACGTATCATCCATAATGAGGCATATCAACACCATGTGCGTCCTGCCATGATGCACTGAGAAGGGCACAATACCACCTCTATGGTAATCTTGCCAAAAATGCCTACCCTAAATGTAACCATGAGGAAACATCAGCCAAACACAAACTGAGACACGTTCTTCAAAATACCTAACCAGCACTCTTCAAAAGTGCCAGGGTCATGAAAGACAAGGAAAGACTGAGGAACTCCCAGATTGGAGGAGACCAAGGAGACATGACAACTAAATGCAATGTGTGATCAGTTGGTGACATTTGAGTAAGATCTATAGATTAGTTATAATTTTCTCAATATTAATTTCCTGCTCTACAATTGTCCTGTGGTAAGATGTTAACATTTGAACTAGATAGATGAAGTAAATACAGAAACTCTTTGTAATATTTAATAACTTCTATAATCCTGAATTTTTTTTCACTACATCAAAAACTAATGATGTGATGTATGGTGATTAACATAACAATAAAAAAGAAAAAAAGAAAAAAACAAAAGATTTTAAAAAGAAATGAGTAAGTAAATAGTCTCATTATATTTTCATGTAGATGGACGGACAGCTGTTGTTATCAGAGATAAAAAGGATTGTGAAGACCACACAGGTACCACTACCCTTTTTGTTTTTCATCTTATACATAAAGTATCATTAGATTAGCTTCATCAGTATAAATTTATTTATAACTAGAGTGCCCCCTACCCTTTTTAGAGAATGGTGAACATATACATTTGTGCTTGCATCAGATTACAGACCCCCAAAAAGTTGGTTCCTCTTCACCACCTTTTTCAAATTTACCCCTCCTATCCTTCCCCAGTTAACTTGCCAGTTTGTGGGAACTACCTTAAGCATAATGAAATCAATCAAAAGGACACTCCTTTTAAGGTCCATCAGATTCCCGTTGTTTTGTGGTTGCTCCTTTCGATTTCCTTAATTTGAGACAAAGAAATTCAAGCAAAGAAATTTCTATGAAACAGTACAAACCATTTGCAACTTTTAGAAAGTAAGTGAGTACAGGGTAGTGTTGTTGTTTTTCTTTTAAATAATGCTAACCCCTGCTCTCCTAAGACTGCAGGCAAACTATGGGCTGTCTATATATTAAGATGCTAAGTGGCATTTCCCTGAGAGCCACTCTCTCCTGACTGTTCCATCCATCAAAAGATTTAGAAGACTTAGCTCTTGTTCCTGATCTGCCACTTAGGAACTATGAATTTTGGAAAACTAATTTCTGTCTATATCTCTGTAAAATGGGGATAACAAGAACTGCTTTGTCCCACCAGGATGTTATAGAGATGAGATGAAATATATAAAAATTCATAAATCCTTATACAGATTACATTTTTACATGATCACTAATGGTCTTAGGATCCGAGTGACAGGGTCTGACCCAGGGTGTTTTCTTATTTCTGACATTACCTCATGCTCTGGGCCATGGTTGTTGACCTTCAGGGCACTGTGCCAGAGATACCTTTCTGTGTTTTTATTCCGTTCCTGGTTTCCTGCTAGGATATTTTTTTTACTTTTGTTTTTTAGTACAATTTCATTCTTTAGCAAGTGCATTTCAGTTTGTTGTGATTTTTATTTTTTTATATAACAGATTTTGGTCATTTATAAACCTATTTTAAATTTGTAGATCAATTCACTTCAAAATGATTAATTTAAAAGACTAGTAGAAATGCTCAAAAGGTGCTTTTTCCTTTGTAAAAAAAAGAAAGAAAGAAATCCATTGCTGCATCTTAGTTATTAAAAAGTATTTTTTGGCAAAATTTTGTTAATATGAAGAGAAAACATTATAATGAAGGAAACAACTTAAATTTCAACATGTGATCAATGGTAATGAATAACAGTGTGTATATAAATCTAATGATAATAATGTAATGAAAAAATATATGAAAAACATTAAGTTTTCCATGTTCACATATGTTCCTTTATTTTCAGATCACTGCTGTAGAGTTACTGGTTTACTCAGACTTTCCCTAGGAAACAGTCACCATCTGCCTGATTAGTCTGTTTCCTTGGTATCCTGCCCATTCTAGCTATTTAAGTTTCTGCTCTATTTCAAGAAATGCACTCATTAGGACGGTCACATCTGTTATCATTTGAAAAGAAATACACATATTCATAAAACATATAATAGAACCTTGATATTTTATTAGCTATAAACAGGAAAGGTCTCCTTTCAACTACCTTACCCTTAAATGCTAATAAAGGATGGTGTGTTCTTTAAGGTCCCTCCCTCAAATTCCATGAATCTAAAATAAAAAAGGAGTGCTCAAGAGGTAAAACTATAACTTATATATTTTCATTATGTACATGTTTATATGAAAAAAACACCATCTATTAAAAATAGTTAACTGAATACTAGAAGAGAATAATAAATATGAAACAGGTATA